ACAGACGCCGCAGCGGAAGCTCCAGAAGACCCTAACAGCAAGGATCGACAAGAAAAATTACGACACCTTGCTGGGGGCTCTGGAGCCAGAAGCGAAGGCGCTCTTCCGCTCTTGCGGCGGGCCGCACGCCGGCGCTTGGCAGACTGCTTCGCCTGGCTTGGAGGCGCAGCGGCTGGACGACGCCGACTACTGCAGCACGGCGCGAACGCTGCTCGGCCAAGCCGCGGCGCCCCCTGGCGCGACCTGCTGCAACCGCGCGCGCACAGGGGGGCGCGCCGGGCAGCGCTGCGACGAGCCGCTCGGCGACCGGGCGCACCACGCCTGGCGCTGCGCCCGCGGGGGCGGCCTCAAGGCACGCAGCGGCGACCTGGAGCGCGCCTGGGGCCGCATCCACGCGGAGTGCGGCTACCGCGTGGACTACCAGAAGCACGTCCCGGCATGGGACCGCTGGCGCTGGCATTGCCCTAGCTGCGACACGAGCGGGCACGCGCCAGACCGGCCGGCGGGGCCCTGCGGCCGCTGCGGAGCGGCGCTGCAGGCGGAAAGGGAGGAATTCATCCTCGACCTCGACATTCAGCGGGCGGGCTGCCCCAGGCTGTTTGTCGACGTCACCGTGCGCTACTGCGTGCCAGGCGACGCCCGCGCCCTGGCTGCCGCGGCCGGCCGCGACGGCGCGGTGAACGCCGAGGCCGCGGCCGACAAGCAGCGGCGCTACCCCGCGGGCCGCGCCCCGCGGGGTATGGTGCCGCTCGCCCTCGAGACGGGCGGCCGGCATGGGCAGGCAGCCCTTCGGCACCTCCGCTCGCTGGCGCGCGACGAAGCGGCCCTCCTCGGCGAGGAGGCAGCGGCGGCCGCCGCGAGCGCCCTGGCGAGCCGCTGGGGGCGGGAACTCAGCGTGGCCCTCCATAGGGCCACCGCCCGGCAGCTCCGCACCGCTCTCGGGGCGGACGGCGCCGAGCGGGCGGCCGCGCTGCGGGCTGCCGAGGCGGCCTAGCCGGCCTGGCGCGGCGGTGGAGGAGGCGCACTACCGGGTCGTCCTGGGGCCGTACATCTGCATCGCGGAGCTCGGCCTGAACAGAGGGGGCGGGTGTGCGTGACTTGTCTCCTGCTTGAGGAGGAGGAGGAGGAGGAGGAGGAGGAGGAGGAGGAGAAGGAACAGGAGAAGGAGGAGGAGGAGGAGGAGGAGGAGGAGGGACAGGGAGGAGGGAGAGGGAGCAGGGAGGAGGGAGGAGGGAGGAGGGAGGAGGGAGGCAGGGAGGGAGGGTGGGTGGGAGCTCGCGAAGCAGGCCACCTTGGACCTCTCATAGGTGCCCTCGATGTTGAGCCCCGCAGGAGACTCTTTGTTTCACCAATTCTGGAAGTGCGAAGCAAATGAAGGCCTCGAGGGCTTGGCTTTGGAAATCCGAGAAGAAGCCCGACAGGTGCACGAAAATACACCGTGCTTCTGGCTCAGAGGCCTGGTCCCAATGTTTGAGGACCCCCCATATGCCACGAGGCCGTGCCAGAGCACCAGAGTTGTAGGAGGGGCCCTACTAGGAGGAAATAAGATGGCCCTCTCCAGCCTCACTAATGTAGCCTCTGGTGGATCAGGAGGCAAACGCCATGAAGATGCCAGGATCCGCAGATGTGGGTCGGGCGTTCTGGTGTTGGACGGAGCTCGGAGCTCGCGGCGGCGACTGAGGCCGCACAGGCGACGGAAGGACCCTTGTTGTTTGTCATTGATGCCCGGTCTGTAGTAGGTGACATTCGTGCAGGCCCAAAGCGTAGGTTCACGGTCAACACAGGTATGTGGAAGCTTTGTTGGGCCGCAGCGCCCGTCGAGGCCGGCAAAATCAAAAGCCACCTGACGGCCCAAGAGGCCGAGCAGGTAGGCATCTACCTTTTTTATTGGATTGCCAATCGTCTAGCTGATCTTGCAGCGGACGAGGACGCCCGCCAGGCCCAGTTCCCAGGTCAGGACATAGCGGAGATAGTGCGGATCGACGAGAAGGCGAGGAAGGTGCACGGGCACCTCCTGGCCGTCGCGACAGCGGTCGGCAAGGCTGCCCCCCGCCCTGCATGGCGCTTCATCGCGCCAGGATCGCCAGCGCGAGGCCAAGGCGCGGGCAGCAGCCAGGAAGGAGGTAGCAGCAGCAGCAGCAGCAGCAGCAGCAGCAGCAGCAGCAGCAGCAGCAGCAGCCTCCCAGCACTCGGCCCAAGTGAACTCCAGAGGTCGAGTTCCCTGTCGCGTTTGTGTGCCCAGGCCAGGGCCTAGCGGACGCCATGCCTGGATTTCGAGCCCGTGCGTCGGATACCCGATCGCATTGCATTCCAGCCATAGAATCCAGGTTTTTAAGGGCGGTTCTAATGCGTCGCCTGTGGGGGGTACGGCACCACGAGCTTTCAGAAACTCAGCGCTGCGCGCAGGCCAGAGACCATCACCCAAGGTGGAAGACGTCTCGCGAATTCCCTCGAGGAGGGGATCTTGCCAGTGGGCATCAAAGCGTGGGCCCACCCAGATGACCTGAGGCCACCCAGGCCCATTTTTGAGCGCAATCAGTGCCACGCGGCCCCTTGTCAGAGGAATTGGCCGCTCAGTTAGGCAAGAGGTAACAGGAGGAAGACGAGGCGGAGGAGGAGAAGGAGAAAGAAGAGGACAAGGAGGAGGAGGCGGATGAGGAAGAGGAGAAGAAGGAGGAGAAGGAGGAGGAAGGAGGGCAGAGGGCCAGGAGGAGACCAGGAGGAGGAGGGGAGGAGGAGGAGGTGGAGGAGGAGGAGGAGGAGGAGGAGGAGGAGGAGGAGGAGAGGAGGGAGGAGGAGGAGGGTGGGAGGGAGGGAGGTAGGAGGTGAGGAGGGATTCATGGAGGGAGGGAGGGAGGGAGGGAGGGAGGCAGGGAGGGAGGGAGGGAGGGAGGGAGGGAGGAGGAAGGAGGGAGGAAGAGAAGAAAAAGGGAGGGGGAGGAGGAAGAGGAGGAAAAAAGGAGGATAAGAAAGGGGGGGAGGAAGGCGAGAGGAGGGTGGAGGGGAGGAGGGGGGGGAGGAGAGGGAGGAGGAGGAGGAGGAGGAGGAGGAGGAGGAGGAGGAGGAGGAGGAGGAGGAGGAGGAAGAGGGAGGAGGAGGACGAGGAGGAAGAGGAGGAGAGGGAGGAGGAGGAGGAGGAGGACGACGAGGACGAGGACGAGGACGAGGACTGCCACGGGCAGTTGTTCAACGTTTTCGGCCTCTGGGAGACCGCATCCCGGCCCCAGGGCTGGCACAAAACGACTCCGGATGAAAAGCCGGCCTAGCGGGGGGCAGGGGTCGAGATCTTTGGGGGCCGCGTCGCGCTAAAAGAAAAAGACGTCGGAGGAGAGAGGAGGGCGCCTCGAGAGAGGTCCAGGGATCCCAGCGTGCATCGTCTTTCGCCGCCCCCCCTGGCATCGGTCGGACGCGCGCATGTTCGCTGATTCGGCCAGCGCCCCAAAATCTGGACCACTTTGGAGCATTTCGGATCTCCTTGATGAAGACAAGACGCACGAAACCAAGTGGCGCACGGGGAATGAGCGACTGAGCGATGGAAAGCCCCAGGACGGTCCTGCACGCCAAGAGGCGCATACACGAATGCCTCACGGTCCTCGGCATCATGCACCAGCGGCGGGACCAGGAGGTCGCGGCGCCCGGGGCCCAGCGCGCCGACGAGATGCATTGCGCGATGGTCATGCTGAACTCGGGCCTCCTGAAGGCGCTGCACGTCACCGACAGCTTCCACGCGCACTGCCACCGCGAGTGCCCCGAGCTCGGCGCCCTACTGGACGGCGGCGACCCGCCTGCTGCGGAGGAGGCCGCGGCCGCACATGGCGACCCCGACGAGGGCCTGGCCAGCGAGCGGTACCGGCAACTTCAGGCCGAGTGCGTGTGCAGAGCGGAGCTTCGGGCAGGGGCAACGATAGGGGGGGGATAGGCATAGGGGGGGCACGCATCGACACCCAATCGCCCATTGATCGCTGATGGGGGCCCGATAGCCCCAACCTGCCCAAGAAGGTGCGGATTCACGATCGGGGGCCCATCGCCGACCGATTTGTCGGCGACGTATCGCCGATTGCAGGCCTCGGGACGATCGAAACGGGTACGGAACGAATGGGTGCGAAGACCAGCAGCAGTTCCTGTCCATTTTGAACAGGGCTCGCTGTCGGCGTCGCCGCGGACGTTGTCCATGTGAGACAGAAGATCGCCTGCCCAACAGCGGCCGTTCTTGGTTTTGAACAACATGTGTTGTTGGGCATGGTACCCGTTTCTTCCGTACTCACTGCGGGCGTCCGCAAGGTCGATGCGTCTCCCCCTTTATTCCAGTCCCTCCCTTATCGTTAACCCCTCATTCGGGGGTCCCCAGACGCTGCGGTGACGGCACCGTGTGGGAAGTCCGTCCGGCCGCGAGGTCGCCACACGGCTTCTGGGCCTGGTTCGTCCTCCGAGGGCGCCTCGTGCCGTGGGGGGGGCACCTCCGAGGCCCCGGGAGGGTGCGGCCACGGACCCAGCGGTGAGCTCGGCATCGCTTGGACGTGTGCTTCTTGCCTTCGGCGGCGGCGAGGGCCATCGAGGAACACCTCTTCGACCATCTTGCGAAGAAACGGGCGCACGAGATCCCGAAACGGGCACGCACAAGCGGACCTCCGAGCGATGGCCAATGAGGCCCGTTGGGGCTTCGAGGCCGCCGCACGCTCTGTCACCGCACGGTTTGGGGAACCCCGGGGATCAAGCGAAGAAAAACCACCCGGACCGAACAATTGGCGTTTAAGAAACGGCCTTGGGCGTTTAGTGGACAGCCTTGCCCCGTTCGATTCCTTCTCTTTGGGCGCGTTTGCGAGACGACTTCGCGTGTCGGGGTGGTTACGGTGGGGGCGTTGGTTTAGGAACGTGCACGGGAGGCTTCAGACCCTGGAGGGTTCCTTATCTGATGAGAGCGGCGGCAACATCCATTGCCAATCCGCGATTGGAGTTCTGGCTTCCAGGCCCTGAATTCCTTATCCAACGCTTCCTTCTTCAATGCCCCCACCCTGTTCCGGGGGTGGATTTTCTTACTTCTACTCTGAAGGAGCTGCTGCGCTCGCTGGACGCGCGCCACCGCGACGACGAGACGCGCGCGAAGCGCCTGGAGGACGAGTGCCGCGGCTTGCGTGCGCGGCTGGGGCAGGCCGCCTACGCAGGGGGCGGCCTCCCGCCGGCGAGCCGGCCGGGCACGAGCTGCGGCGTGGCTGTGCAGCGCTGCGCCGAGGGCGGGGTCGTCGTGCTCGAGCCTGAGCTGGGGCGCCTGGCGGCCTCCTCCAAGACAGGGGAGCGAAGAGTGGCAGGAGCATGCATATCTATATATATATATATACATATATATAGAAGAAGAAGAAGAATAATAATAAGAAGAAGAAGAAGGACAAAAAAAAAACTCGGAGGTCCGTATATAAACTCGGAGGTTAGCGCGGGTTTCGCGGATCCCCGCCGGGCCCCCCTGGCGGCGCCTCCGGCGCCGCCCCAGCGCGCTCCGCGCGCCAGGGAAGGGGGGGTCCAGCGCCGATCCGAGAACTCCGCACAGACCTCCGAGTTTTTATGTTTATGCCACTTTTTGTTCCCCTGCAAGAAGCTGGAGGAGGGCTGGGCGGAGGCCCGGGAGCAGGTGGGCGACGGAAGCAAACGGGGTCGTTTGCACGGACCTTCGCGCGTAGGGTCGCGCGTAGGCTTGAGCGCGCCCTCGTTTCTATTGCAGCGTGCCGCGCTGGCGTCAGATCGCTATGCAAGTGTGCGTAATTCCAGGGAGTAAAAAGTCATGAGAGTGATACGTTCCAAGATTCCCCAGGTTTCAAAGATTCCCTGTTGTTCCGCACGGGCTCGAGAGACTGAAATCCTGGAACGCTTTCAGTGCAATTTCCAGACAGAGCGTCTGGCTGTTTGTCAGTGAGGCGTCGCAGGAAGTCCTGATCCTTTCCCTGGGACCAGCTTTTCATCCCGAGTCGTTGTTTGACGGCCCAAGGGCCCGGCAAGGGCCCCCAGGGGCCGAAAACGGCGGCAAAGTTCCCGTCCTGATTTTTTCACGACGCGAGCATGTCTGGGGTCGTATCATCTCTGAGACCGTGCACGCCCGAGTAGGACCCGCTTCTCGTCGTCGCTGCAGGTGGGCAACGCAAAAAGACGGGGGTCGTCTTCGCCGACCTCGCCACACAAGTTTCCCGCGCGCAGGCGCGCGGCGGCGCCCTCGTCTCCAGTGTGCCGTGCCGCGCTGACGGCCCGCGCGAGCCACCGCGCAGGGTCTCTGAGGTCTTGCCGCGCCTTTTGCTCCGACGCGCGGCCTGACGTCCTGGGGCGGGCACCGCGGTCACCTCGGGCACGCGCCGCCTCGGGCGCGGGGCGTGCCGTGGGCTCGTGGCGCGGTGCTGGCGCCGCCCCCCCGGGCGCGGGACGCACGGCCTGCCGTGGGTGTGCCGCGGCCGTCGGCAGCGTCCGCCCGGGCGCGTCGAGGACGAGCGGCGCGGCGACGCGTCGCCTCGCGCAGGACCCGCCTCCCGCCGCCCCTCCAGGTGGAGCAGCTGCGCGCCTCGTCGGAGGCCGCCCGGCGCGGCGCCGAGAGCGCGGCGGAGGAGCGGCGCGAGCTGCGGGAGCTGCTCGGCGCGGGCGAGGAACCGGGGGCCCGCGGGTCGCATCTAGGCCTCCCAGGTGGGGTCGGAGGATCGCGCCGCATCGCCGATGCAGCGCTCATGCGGCTGGATGTGGAGGCCGATTCTCTCCACGCCGACGTCGCCGGTGCATCGCCGGCGTCGCCGATGCATCGTCGGTGCATCGGTGATGCATCGACGATTCGGCGCGACCCTCCGAACCCAGATATTCCGACCCCATTTGGAAGCCTTCTGTCAGAGGAGCAAGAGTTCATGGGGTCCACGTTGCGAGAAAAGTCCCGGCGTCGGAGTGCTGGGGCTCGTAGAATTAGGGGTTCGACGGCGGCGTCGGCGTCGGCGACGGCGTCGGGATGCTGGGGCGGGTGGTAATGGTAATGGGGGGTGACTGACACGGGACCCGTTGCTTCACCCCCCACCTCCCATTACCACCCGCCCGAAAGAGTGCATGATAACTGCGAAGATTCCTGAGGTTTCCTATGCTTGAAGAAGAAGAAGAAGTAGAGGGACAAGGAGGAGAAGGAGAAGGACAAGGAGGAGAAGAAGAAGAAGAAGAATAAGAAGAACAATGGCATAGACATAAACTTTCGGAGCTCCGCGCGGATCTCTTGGATCCGCGCTGGGCCCCTTCTGCCGGCGCCTCCAGCGCACCGCTGACGCGTTCCGCGCTCCCGGAAGGGAGGGTAGAGCTCCACGCGCTGGGGATCGGGGAGGTTATGATACGGCGGCGGCGTTGGATAAGGAACGTCTTCCTGGGGCCCAGACCCTGGCGCACTCCTTGTTGTTTCACGGCGAGGTGGGTGGCCCACGTTTGGCCGCCCATCGGTCGCGAGACCTTGGGTTCCTTATCGAAGGCATCCTGATCTAGAACCTCCACCGTAATTATTCCCCAGACATCCGGCGTCGCGAAACAATCGAGACGGAGGTTTCTCGTCGTTTTCGGACCCTCGGAGCCCTTCACCGGGCCTCAGGACCGTCAAGAAAAGAGCTCGGGATGGAGAACCGGTCCCAGGGAAGTGGTCGAGAAGTCTGGGGCGCGTAGCCGAGACGCTTGATGTTTGGATCTAGGCCTTCCAGATGGGGTCCGAGCAGATGGGTTCGGAGGATCACGCCGCATCGCCGATGCATCGGCGATGCGGCTCGATGTGGAGCCCAATTTTCTTCACGCTGGCGTCGCCGATGCATCGCCGATGTCGAGGATGCACCGCCGGTGCATTGAAGAAAATGCGGCACGATCATCCGACCCCGTCTGCTCGGACCCCATCTGGGAAGCCTCTAATACATGATTCGGCGGCGCGAAGGCCCGCCCCGTCTCACTTCCCCCCTGGCCTCGTCGCCAATAGATAGTGATACGTCCCAAGATGTCCCAGATGTCCTTGATGTCCAAATATCCCGCACGGGCTGCAGAAAGAAGGCCGCTGGGTACTCCAGAACTCATGGAACGCATCTTGAGCCAATTGCATCATGACATGACCTATACGACCGCCTTTCGGGTGATAAATGATACCAGAGAAAAACCCCAATCAGAATTTTGGGGGGGCTATGGGGCTTTAAGGCTTTAGGGCTATGGGGCTATAGGGCTATAGGGCGATGTGGCCATAGGGATTTAGGGCAAGAAGCCTTTAGGGCTATGGGGCTATAGGGCTACAGGGCTATAGGGCTGTAGGGCTAAGGGCTATAAGACTATTCGGGCTATAGGGCTATAAGGCTACAGGGCTATATACGGCTATAGGGCGTTAGGATCATAGGGCTATAGGGCTATAGGGCTATAGGGCTATAGGCTATAGGGCTATAGGGCTATAGGGCTATAGGGCTATGGGGCTATGGGGCTATTGGGCTATTGGGCTATTGGGCTATAGGGCTGTACGGCTATAGGGCTATAAGATTATAGTGCTATGGAGATATAGGGCGATTGGGCTATTGGGCTATAGGGATATAGGGCTATTAGGCTAGGCACCCCCGGGCACTTCTGGGCACCCCAGGCACCCGGGCACCCCTGGGCACCCGGGCACCCGGGCACCCCCGGGCACCCCCGGGCACCCGGGCACCCGGCCCCGGCCACCGAAATCGGCCACACACCTGGGCACCCGGGCACCCCCGGGCACCCCCGGGCACCCGGGCACCCGGCCCCGGCCACCCGGGCAATCGGCGGCACAGACTACCTAACCCTTTAATCCGCTCGGACCCCTATAGAGGCAAGCTCTGATTGGGGAATAATAAAGAGGTTCGAGAGGAACTAACGTCTCACTCGATCGATCTGACTTTCGATTTGACCATCGAACTGACTCAATCGGTCTCACAATCGATCTCACAATCGATCTCGCATTCGATCTCACTATCGAACTCACTATCGAACTCACTACCAGTATCAGAACCGATATCACGATCGATCTCACAATAGATCCCATTATCGATCTCATAATCGATCTCACTATCGATCCGACTGTCGATATCACCATCGATCTCACTGCCGATCCCAGTATTAATGTCACTATCGATCTCACTATCGATCTTACGATGGGTCTGACTATCGATCGCACTATCGATCTCACTATCGATCTCCTTATTCATCTCACTGTCGATCGCACTGCCGATCTCACGATCGATCTAACTATCGATCTAACTATCGATCTCACTGTCGGTCTCTCTATCGATCTCACTATCAGTCTCACTACCGGGCACCGACGGGACACCAGCGGGACACCGGCGGGACACCGACGGGACGCCCCTGGCCAACGCCGGACATCTTGGGGGGTGGCGATTTTTTGGCCCAGCAGCGCCCTAGCCAGAGGAGGGTTCATTCCTTTCGCCGGCCCACGTAGCTTCGCCTCGCCCGCACGCACGACGACACGAAGCCGAAACCGATTTCCCAGTGGGGAGCTCTCCGTTTCACTGCGATCTCACCCCCTCACCTCCGATTCTCGCCCCAGCAGAGGCGGGGCTCATCCCAGAGTGGGGTCAGGGAGCGGACCCAGCCGGATGCTCGCCTTTTCTTCCTCCGAGGGCCGCTCAGCGCAACGAAGGATTGCAAAAAAACCCGCAACGAAGGATTGCGAAGGGTTTTTTTTTGCAATCCTTCGCTCACCTTTTCTTCCTCCGAGGGCCGCTCAGCGCGATTCCCCGTGGGAGGGGAGTTCACACAAGGTGGGCTTCGGGAGCGGACCCAGCCAGGTGCTCACCCACCCGTCCTTTCAGGGGGCGTCTCGCGCTACGCTTTACGTCGGGCATGCCCCTCTACAGGAGGAATACCTCAAAACAGACTCGTCTGGCGACGATGCTTCGACTATTTCTGTTGCCTACAGCTCCTGAGCACTTCTTGACCACGTTCTACTTTGTCTTCCAGGATCCGCCTGCAGGGGGGCGTGCCCGGCCTGCTCCCCTCCCGGCCCCGCTCTCCGCCACTGCCCCACCCCTGCCGCGTCGGCCCCCCGCACTCCCCACCTCTGCCCCTGCCCCACCTCTCCCAGCCACGCCTCCGTCGCGACCCCTCCCCGGGGACGGGGCGCTTCCTCTCGAGTCGCCCCGACGATCGTTCCTGGACGGCCCCGGGGCCCGGCGAGGGCCCCCAGAGGCCGAGAACGCCGAAGAGCAGTCGTCTTGATTTTGATCGGCACGCTGGATCTCTGGGTCTGGAACGTTGGGATGCGGTGGGGGCGTTCGTTCAGGAATGCGCCCAGGGGGCTGCAGACCCTGGAGGGTTCCTTATCTGCTGAGGGCGGCGGTGATATCCATGGCCAATCCACGATTGTGAAGTCTCACTGGCTTCGAGACCCTGGGCTCCTTATCTGAGGGACCCTTATCCACTGCCCCCACAGTAGCGCGTCGCCCCGCCGGCTCTGGCCCGCCACGCTTCGACGCGACACGCTACCCACTTCCCGGCCCCCCAGCGTCAGCGTGCGGAGCGCTTGTCCCCGCCTCCCGCCCCGCGGAGCGGAGCGGCACGCTATGCGCTCGCATGGCATATAGCGTGTCGCCGCGGCCGCCGCCGCGCGACTCGTTCGGCACGAGGCCCCCAGAAGTGCCGACCACTTCCCGGAGTCATCCCGGGTCGTCATGTGGAGTGCCCCAGGGCCCAGCAAGGGCCCCCCGAGGCCCAAAACGGCCGCACACACTTTCCGCCCGGAGTTCTGCAGGCATCGCGCACGTCTGGGGGCCCCGCGCCCCCCCCGGCAGGAGGGGCTCCAGGACGCGGTGGCCCAGCTGCTGCAGGACTCACCAGACAAGAAAGAGCCACCACCACGAGTTAGGGGGATGGACGCTCCCCCTCCCCGAGCTGGTGGCACCCCGTTCCGGGCGCGCCCCCAGAGAGTGCCCAGAACGGAGTGCCACCAGCACGGGAGGGTGTGTTTTTTTGGCCTCTCCCTCCTGTTCCTCCTGTTCCTCTTGTTCCTCCTCCTCCTCCTCCTCCTCCTCCTCCTCCTCCTCCTCCTCCTCCTCCTCCTCCTCCTCCCTCTGGAGTTCTGGTGGCAGTGGTCCCTGCTGCTCTCGTGGAGGACCTGGCCAGCCACGGGGCGGAGCGCGCGCACGGCGGCGCCCCCGCGCCCGGCGCGGCGGCGGTGGCGCCTGCGGGCTCCGGCCCCGACGGCGGGCAGCGGCCGGGCGCCTGCGGCGCCTGCGGCGCCGCGGGCGCGGAGCCCATGGCGGCGGCACAGGCCGGCGGCCTCCCCTGACCTTCCAGAGAGCTATGTTTTAGCACGGGAGGCCTAAAAACCTAAAACAACGAAACGAAACAGCCTAAAACCAAGACATGTAGTAGCTCTGGGTTAGGTTTTTAAGTCGCGTGCTATCATTTGTGTTGCCCTCCTGGAAGGTCAGGGTCTGAATTCCAAAAATTATCGGGTACTTGGATCGTCTGGGTGGTTGCTAAGTGTTTGGGGTGGTTGTATCTACTTGTCCCCAGGATCGTTGAGATAGCTATCTTGCGCGGGATCCTACTTGTAAGTAGGTCGTGGAAGCACCATGTTAACTAGGATCTGGAGGTTACCAAAGCTGAAACAATTTATGTTGATATCGTTTTTTTGATGTGTGTGTGTTTATTTATTGTATGTTGTATTTGATTTTTAACGCAGCGATGGCTTTTTTTCAAGTGATGTACTTGTTTTTTTCAAGGCGGCATTGTTTTTTTTCAAAGCGTGATTGTAAATATTGTCAGTTTCGTGTTGTTCTCAACCTAAGATATAGCAGCCCATTGAGCTGAAAACTGCGATAACACTAAATAATATGACCGTGCTGCCTGTGTACACCACGCACTATGTTACATGCATGTGACAGGGGCCCAAAGGAATCACGTGCTTTTCCACAAGCAGCGCGACGCATGCAATATCCCCTAAAGCATGTTGTGAAACACTGAAAAAGTCGACCCCATCCCTGGATTGCCAGTTAGTCCTCCCCCCCACACTGCGCGCATCAGGCACCCGTCTCGGTGTGCCTCAGACGCGCTGGGAGCAAAACTCGAGAGATCTGCCCGTCGGGGACGGGCCAGTAGATACAAGGCTCGACCACGCACACCGTATCTACAAGGATCGGGTCGTTGCAAACAACACACTGCACGAGGTCCACCTGCCTCGCCCGAACAGGCCACCTCGATATGCATGTCACTGTGCTTCCAGCGCTACGCGCGTGAAAGTAAACCTGGCCAAACGCAGTGCGACCCTGACTGTCAGAGTACGCAACCACGTCATTCACACAAACTACTCTGTTGTTGCACCTCGCAGCCTTAGCAGTTTCTGCACCTTGGGTGGGGAAACCAATCAGGCCGCATGCCAAAATGGCATCCTTGATCTTCTTGCTAGCAGGGGTGGCACCTACGAGCTGGTCTTTCACAAGCGAACTGCGCAGCTCGAACAGATGTCTAACAGTTACGTCTTCGAGAAGTCCTCTCTCGAATGCCTTCGTGTTGTGTCTGTCGTCCGCAAACATCTTTAAAGTTCTATGCTTGCGCTCTTGCAAAAAAGTGCTCTGTAAACAATGATGCTTGATCATCTGTGGAGCCAAATGCAAAGCATAGTGATGCTTTGGCCTCCACAGCTCCTCGCCATAGCAATTTAAATGAAGCTGCAAATGGCGCGCGATCGCTTGGCCGAGAGTGGACGCAGCCACCACCCCAGTGTTGACTACACTCAAAAGGCGAACCACGTGGCACAGCTGCAAGGCAGACTCAACCTCGCCTGGGCACAGTCCTTTGGGCACAGCAACCCCGCGCAGAAACATCTCGAACACGGGAGCGCACGAGAGTTGTTCGGAAGCGTTGCCACCAAACGAGTTGTTCTTACCATGCACAATGTCCTTGCCATGCGAATACCCACCTGGCCACCGAAATTTATTCAGGTACACTCTGAACGCCTCAGTCGGAAGACCATTGCACGCCAAGGCTTCCAAACATTTGTCAGCCTCCACTGTGAAGAGCCCCGTGATAAAGTAAATGTGCATCCAATCCCAACCGAAGACCTGCATCATGTCCACGTCGAGCCACTCATCTTGCAAGAGTGAAGTGGGATAGAAGTTAAAGCCGAACTCCGTCTGCTTTACCTCTAGCTCGGCGTTGGTGCAGGTGGCGGCAATCTCTGCCAACCGACGCTGAATGCCTCGGATGGACTGCTTCGTATGGGGCTGGAAATCGCGAAGGTCGACGTTCGTACTCGGCACGAGGAAGCCAGTGGAATCGGGAAGCCACGACGACTTGAACGAGCAAGCGTTCTTGCAGAGGCAGCACAGTTTGTGCGCTCCAGCGCCTTTTAGATGCAGCCCAAATTTGTGAGCACGTTCGTCCTGTAGCAAAATCTTCAATGACCCGAACACAAGGCGGGGCTCATCCTCACCAGCTATGCTCAATGCCACCCCGCGTCGGAGGTCGTTGCCACTACCGTCGGGCCGACCGAAAAAAGAATGCAGCACCAACTTCATGGCTTCGGATGCGCCGCCAGGGAGACGGTCGACCAGCGAAGACCGCATGCCAGTTATTGTGAACCAGGATTCTTCGTTTGACAGAATGGGGAATCTGAAGCCTTCTATGCCCCAATACATCGCGAGAAGCTTTCGGAAATTGTGTGCCCCCAGCGCATTTCCTGGGACGATCTCGTCCGAGTAAAATATGATACCAAGCTGATTCCCATCTCTATCAAGCGTATCTCTTAGAAGCGTCCTGAACTCCAGGCTGGCTCTACACGCTGCCTCGAGCATCCCCAGCGGATGTTGCATCCAGAACGTGACGGGTTTGCCGTTGACACCTGCAGCAGTCACGGGCTGCAGCAACGGCCCGAAACTCGTCGATTCGAAAGCGATATCTTGCTTGTCTCTCCTCTGGCTACTACAAGAGAAATAGTCGGGCAAGCCATGGTCCCTGACTTGCGTCAGGAGCTTGTTCAGTGCCGACGCAGTCACGTGGGAATGACGACCGTATTCTGCCAGCCTCAGCTTCTTGCGAGGCGGATCAAACATGACTCGAACACAAACGGTTACGGACTCGACGACCTCGGAGGTACCCGCGAGTGTGAGCGGTCTGTGTGAGTGAATCTGGATATGCACACCCATATTCAATCACACAGACCGCTCACACTCAGCTCAGGGTCGTCCCTCGCCCAATCGTCAAGGATGTCTCGATCGAGGCCCTGCTTTCAACATCAAACAGGGGGTTGCGCCACGGGGTGTTCCACGGGTCCCGTACGAGCCCAGATTGTTGGTTCGCCTCATGCACATGGCTTGTTTGGTTGCGTCTGCTTTCAGGACAGATTGTGAAGATGTCTCCAGCAACTCGTTGGTCCCAGCATCCCTGAAGGCATTGCATCTCAAGTTGTGACGATGTCCCAAGCGAGTTGTGCGCATGGTTGCCCACGACCCTTTGCTTTAACATTCGATTGTGAGGACGTCTCGAGCGAGGCGCTTGCTTCTGCAGCCTACGGTATGCGCCAGGGTTTAGGGTGCTCGTCCGCTCGCACCCAGGTTGATACGGTTTGCCCGTTAGAGTGGCACATCGGCAAGACATGTATCAAGTGCATGCCCCCAGGTAGTGAGAGAGAGAAAGGGAGAGCGAGCAAGCAAGCGAGCGAGAGAGCGAGCGAGAGAGCGAGGGAGAGATAGAGGGGCAGGAAGGGAAGGCGTGAGGAGGGAGCGAGGGATGGGAAAGAGAGACAGAGTGACATAGAGAGGATGGGGCGGGCATTGCACGACGGTGGCAACGAGGATTGAAGAGGGCAGAGCGGCATCCAGTCGCCGTGGTGCTATATGCGTTGCTTGCGCAATCACCCCGAATCGCTGGCGCCGACAGTGCAAACTCAAACCCGCATGTCTTTCCATTGAGGGCGCTCTAGGGGCTTCAGAACACTGCAAGGCCCAGAAGGGCCACCGAGAGATCTAGCCACGAAACACTGACGAGGCTCGCTGGTAAACGAACCTCCCGAACTCAACGCACTGCGCGTCGCTGAGGCCGTGCGCTCTGGCAAGAGACTTAGCCTTGGTGTAAGCGCTACTAGCAAAAGCATTCTTGGAGCGGCCCTCCCACATCTGGTCGGCTGCGATGAACCTCGCGAAGCTCAGCCCCCCCCACGCGCCACGATGCTCCCACTTGCCTGGGGCGGCGGCGGCGCGGGGGATGGGATAGGGAGAAGGGGTGACGGCTGCGCACTTGGGTGCTTTGGGTGATGTTTTGGGTACGGGGCCTCGATGCATCGCTTGCGGCCTCGAGGGGTGGTTGGGACCCCAGCTCTCACAGGGGGGCCCTGGGAATGGGTGGGAGGGGCGAGGGGGCCAGGACACCATCGACACAACGCTGCATCCCCTGGTAACCCCGAACTGCTTCCCATAAACATGGCCAGCCGCGTGCGGCCATATAGCCAGCTTTTTCCATGGGCCCGACGAGGCCTGTGCGCCCCCACCTGCGCCAAACCATGGCTCCCGTTGCAGCCGCCAGCCCCCCCACATCAGCATATATTCGCTCCCCATCGCTCCTTATCCATCTCACCCACCATTCCACCTCATCGCCACTCTCCCCCCGCATCCTCATCCTGACCCTCCTCGATTGTTCCCATGCGCACTTGGAGGTAACAACTCCTCCTCACTCTCACGCTCCCCATCCTCCTCCTCCTTCTCCGCATCCTCCCCCCTCCTCCTCGCCCTCCAGCCCCGTCTCCTCATCATCCTGCCTCCCCCCATTCATCCTCCTACTCCTCACCCTCCTCACCCACTTCACCCTACACACTCCCCTCGTCCCCGCGTTATGCCACCGCGCGCCTTCGCCCTTGGCCGCGGCCGCCTTGGCCTTGGGCGCGGGCTTAGCCTTGGCCTTGCCCTTGCCCTTGCCCTTGCCCTCAGCCTTGCCCCTGGCCGCGGGGCGGCGCCTCACGCGCGCGCCCGCGTCATCCTCCTCCTCCGCCTCGCCATCATCATCGGCCTCGGCGGCGGCCGCAGCTGTCTTGCCCGCGCGCTTCATCGGGCGCTTGGGGCAGCGCCCGACACCAGCAGCCTTGCCACGGCCAGCGGCCTCGGCTGCATCGGCCATCGCCTTCTCCAGCGCTGCCGCCTCGTCCATGCCGTCCGCGGCGCCATCAGGCGCGGCGGCGGCATCAGCCAGCGGAACAGGGCCAGCAGCAGCAGCGGGCATCGCCGACGCCTGGCCATACAGCGGCGACCCCATCACAGGGCTACCACTGCTCGCCGATTCACCAGTACGAACGCCCCTGGGCCTGGTGCCGAGCAAGGGGTTGCCACTCACGTCGCGCTGGAGGTTCGTGCCCACGAGGTCGTTGATCATCTGCTGCACCTCCATGATGAGCGACGGGTTTCGCAGCATGGCGATCCAGATGGCGCCCAGGGGGTCCTGCACTTGCCCAACGGCGGGCTGGGGCCGCGCCGCCATCAACTGATGATCAACAGCTCGACCCGATGCCTTGTGGCTCTTGCGCGACGGCATCGGCCTCACCAGCCGCTCCATGTGCTCGAAATCAACCTGGCGCGCGAGCGGGGTCAATGAGCGAGGGTGCGTGGAGGGATTGGACGAGGGTAGAGGATGAGAGGGATTGTTGGGCAGGGTGGGTTCGAACAGGAAGGATGGCGTGAGGAATGGACGCCAACGGTACAACCAACGAGGAAAGGGCAATGACAGGAGAGAGGGGTTTGGCAATGCGTTCAAAGTTTACGACACGGGTCAACGATGAGGAGGATACAGCATGGGTGGACACGGACTGTGACTTGGCATGGATGTGATGGGGTTTCTTGTGCTATAGCACCTGGGACTCCACGGGGCCATCAGTCCCCTCGTAGGCGAACTGCATGACCTGCGCTGGCAGCATGGTCGGGTCCTGCACGTACCTCTTGATGTGGGAGTGGGGGTACGACCGCACCTCGTCCAGCGTCTTAACCTCGCCCTTGATCTTTTTCTGCCACTCCTCCTGCTTAGACGGAGTAGCATCAGCATGCATCGCGAGCTGCAGGATTGCAGCGGCCCGCTTCTGGGTGCTCTCCGCTGGGCACGTGATGCCCAGCCTCCACATGCGGTGCGCGATGCAATGGATTTTCGGCCCCTCTGCCAAGTTGGGATTGCGGAGCAGGTGCCAATCAGGAGCCGTGAAGAAGCGCTCCAGCGACATGCAGTGTTGCTGGTCGCGCTTAGACTTCTTGCCCTTCAAAGGTTTGGCCACTGCTTCCTGCAAGGCGCTGGCTAATTGAAGCTTCTGCCCGTCGGACCACGGGCCTCGAGTGATGGCCGAGGTGATTGCTGTGGCCGCGTCCTCATCCATGACGTGCTCCTGCATGATCTCGCTGACTATCGCACCGCACTGAGCTGACAACAGGCTCTCGCGGTCTATGCCAGCGGTGGCCTGCGCCTCGATGAACCTGACGCGCCTCTCGATCAGCCCGACCAGCCTGTTCGCGACGTCAGACTCCGAGGCCATCGGAGAAGCCGCTGCTAACGTATCTACGCGTAGTGCACAGGGTATGGCCGAAGACGCGGGGCACCCCAGCAGTAAACGAGCCAAAATGGCTACAGGGATTGGTGGGGGGGGGAAGGGGTACGCCGTTAATTCTTGACGCTTCGCGTATCCCCACCATCCCATCCAGAAACGATCAGCATGGGAGTTGGTGAATCAGGGGCGGCAGAACGCATGCAGTCGCGCAGCCGTCTTCGAGAACACACGCATCACACATAGCTTCCCGCATTGAAGCTTAAGATGGAAATCCGTGCAAGTTACGATGGTGCGTCGATGAGAGGTGATGGGGTATTTCAATGACTCGTAATGGCTGTTGCATTGATTTGTATCTTAAATTCGCGTGCGTTCCGAAACTTGGAGGCATCTGGGGGCCCGCTTGGGATTCTATTGGGTCCCCCTTGGGGCCTCCTATGGCTCTTTCTTGGGGCTCTCCTGAGGTCCTCTTAGGGCCTTCTTGGGGCTTCGTGGAGCTCTCTTGGGGCGTCTTGGGGCTTCGTGGTGCTCTTTTGGGGCGTCTTTGGGCCCTCTTGGGGCTCTTTTGGGGGGTCTGGGGGGCCTTCTTGGGGCTCTTGGGAGTGGTCTGGGAGGCCTCATGGTGCAGTTTTTGGCAGCATTGATCAACAAGAGGGGCTGCGTTAATTCTTGCCCTCCCCCCCTCGGAGGCTCAACCATGCAGTCTTGGGGCCCTCTTGGTCCGCTCTTGAAGCGCTCTTGGGCGCTCTTGGGGCCGTCTTGGGGCTCTCTTGGGCCCCTCTTGGGATTGTCTTGGGCCATCTTGGGGCCACCTTGAGGCATCAAGAGCCCTTCGGAGGCGAAGCAGCGAGAAGGCAACAACCACTGAGTTCCCTTAGGTTTTTGAATGATTTTGGCATCTTGGGGGGGGGTCCTTGGAGGCCTCGGAGGGCACTTGAAACCGTCTTGGGGCCGTCTTGAGGCCTCTTGGACGCGTGTCGGGGGCTATCTTGACCCGTCTACCGCTACCTTGGGCCATCTTGGAGGCAATCTTGGAGTTTCTGGGGCCCTCCTGTAGCGATCTTGGGCCAAGAAAGACGCTCTGACACATCGCCCCCCCCCCCCCGTCCAGACGCAAGGAGGGGGGGTGAGGTAAACCTCCCGAACAGGGAAAGGGAGGAGGTTGGAAACGGAAACGCGCTATACCACCTGCGCCCAGAGGGCTGGTGGGATTTGCAATGCTGTTCGTCGGTGGCGCAGTGTAGCTCTCGGGGTTTCTGTCAGCGCTTGAACGGTTGCACTGGTTGGCTCAAGAAATCTCGGCTCAAGGCCACAGAAAGGCCCAAGAGGGCGCCAAGACGGGAACCACGGAGTTCCCAAGTTTTCGCGGTGACGCCTCACAGAAAAATGGCCGGACGGTATACTTCGCCTGCAGCGGCGCGCCTGCATACCGCTCAGCGACCAGGCAGAGTGGAGTATAGCGATGGAGATCGAGAGACGTGCGATGGGGTCCACCTTTGTGCGAAGTGCTACCTGGCACTTCGCACGCCCTGTGCGAAGTGCCACCTGGCACTTCGGACAGATGTTCGAAGTGACACCTGCCACTTCGCACCGATCTGTCATATCATTTTCATTAGCCTGGCTGTCCAAAGTCACAGGCGTGACATCGGACGGTTGTCCGAAGTGCCAGGTGGGAGTTCGCACATGGCGTCCGAAGTGCTAGGTAGCACTTCGCACCGACGATGCATCTGCCAGATGCGCCTCAGCCGATAAAGGTTTCGGCGGCTCACGCGCATCACCGACGCATCGTTCAACAGGCTGTCGGGGTGGTGATGGCTGTTTTCTGACAGTCTGGCACCTCGTGCCGCGTAGTTGTCCTCACGAGTGCTTGCCCGCCAGCGAGCCCAAGCGCGGGCGACCCCATCGCTGCGGCAGTGCGCAGTGAATTCGATCATGAAGCAAACTGCGCGCACATCCAGACGAAAGATGTGGCTCGACGGGCTCGCCGCGCCCGTGCGGGAGCACCGCCATCCCCTCAGAAAGGTCGAGAGAAACAGCCATTGCCGTCGGCCCTACTCCCCGCCGTCAACTGCCGCAGCGCCCGCTGCGCCTCCTGCCGCGTCAGCTTCCGAGTGGGGGTCGGCGTCCTGGGCTGCGTCGTTGTCGAAGTGCCACTCGTGGTAGAACGCCTCCAACACCGCCACCACCCTGTTCACGTTCTCCTGGTAGGCCGCCTCAGTTGCGGCACTAGGCACCTTCATGGACTTGATCTTCCACTTCTGCGAGGCTTGCGCAAAGAACTGCACCCTGCACGACCGCCTGTGCCGCACCCACTCCACCACCTCGCTGTCAATGATCGGGATGAACTCGTCGCTGACATCTGGCACGCTGGGGGTCTCGCAGAGTAGGTCCATCGAATCTGGCGTGAGCTCGAGACACAACTTCGCCCTGGGGTCCGCCGCAGTGCGAACCCGAACGTCACGCGAGGCGCCGTCCTCCAACTTAGCGGTGATCACCGTCGAGCTGTCGATCTCGTCAATCAGCTCCTTGCGCGGGCGTTTGAGCTGGTACACAGCGGGGGTGGACTGGGAGGGCCCGCCCAGCGGGTCGACGCCCATGTCCGCCACGGCCATCATCTCGTTGGTACGCTTGTTCCTGAGCCGCACCAGCTCGTCGATCATGGCAACCTTGCCGCCTGTGAAGCGCACGAGCTTGTTATCTAGCTTGTCGGCCACGACGTACTTGCGCAAGTCGGTGTGCTGCACGACTAGCGGGTACCAGCTGTTGCCACTGTTCGGGCTGGCTGCCCGACTCACTTGGACGAACCCCTCCACGATCGAGCACATGTCGACGCGAGCGGCCCGCGCGTAGGTCGATGGCAGGGCGCGGGGAGCTGAGCGACCTCGTTTGAGCCAGAGCCGAAATGGTTACGGACGGCGATGTCGTTTCTGATGATACTTATTTGAGGCGGCCCCAGGACATTTGTCTTCAGGCGACCCCATGCTTGCAGTGCTGTCTTCCACGAGCCCACGAAGCTTCGGGGCATGCTTCTGGCCCTCGAGGGCCCCCATCGTCGCAGCCGCTGGACGCGGCTCGAACAACTTGTGCGTTTAGACCTCAGGAGGGGTCTATGGGGCCGATTGCGAGATGGCGTTGGCCGGCGACGTCGACGACGACGACGACGACTCCCCTCTATCTGGTACCGTTTATCTTGTACCGTTTACGTGCAACCCTCTATTGTGTACCGTTTACGTGCAACCCCTCTATCTTGTACCGTCTACGTGCAACCCTCCAGTCGCGTCGATTCTACCCTCGATCTTGTACCGTTTACGTGCAACCCTCAATTATGCACCGTTTGCGTGTACATGTCCGTTTATCTTGTACCGTTCACGTGCAACTTTCTATCTTGTATCGTTAACGTGCAACCCTCTATCTGGTATTACGTACAACCCTCTATTTTGTACCGTTTACGTGCAACCCTCTATCTTGTACCGTATGCGTGCACCCCCTCTATCTTGCACCGTTTACGGAGCTTCATGGGCGGGGGCAATATGGCCCCAAGAGAAGCCCACGGACCGCCCCAGAGAGCTCCAAGACGGCTCCAAGAGGGCCCGAACAGCAGGCGTTTCTGTAAAGACGGGGCCCGAAACGGAGATGCTATCCTTTCATTGCGTGCCAATGGTTTTTCCCCCATTCTATGCGATGCCGAATGTTGTCGCTCGAACTTGCCGCCTGGGGGGCTTCTTGGGCCGTCTTGGAAGCCTCTTGGGGTCGTCTTCGGGCCCTCTTGGAGATGCCACGGGGCCCCCGTGCGCCTCTCCGATGGCTCGCGAAGGCACTGACGCAGTTCCAACGGGCTCCCCAGAGGGCTCCAAGAGATGCCCCTATAAAGCCCACACATGTTCCGCGTCGAGGCCAGCCCCGCTCCACGAGCACCGCTTCACACGCAAAAACACGCAAGCCAGCCCGACGCTGGAGCGCACGATATGTGCGAAGGGCAGCCTACCAATCAATCACTTACCTGCCTCCCGCCGTAGCCGCTCGGACACTCGAGCAGCGGCAAGGGGGTGCACAGCCGCGGCGGTACAGAGCTGCATATACACAACGGTCCAGTACCCTCCCCGTTGTCGTCCACTACCCTTCCCCCCGTCAGCCTCCCCACTGCCCTTCCAACTATGTCAAGCTGCTTCGGACGGACGCTCCAGCAGCTCAGCTCCTCTTGGCCCTCTTGGGCACAGGCGCAGCCTTCGACGGAGCCTTCGGCTTGGCCTTCGAGCTGGAGCCTGAAGCCGCCGACGGATCGGGCTCCGCAGGCGAAAGCACGGGCTTGAAAAGCTTATCGCCCTTCTTGATAGGGGCGGGATTCGTGAGGTAAGGAATGCGCGCGAACGACGTGGCCTGGCCTTCGCCAGCGGACACGTGCACGCGCTGCCACTTGACGCACATATTCACAGTCGACGGGGCTTTGCCTGTGGGGACGGCCCAGAACGGCACCTTAAGGGGCTCGGGGCCTTTGGGGATGGGGGCGAGCTCGAGCTTTGGAACCAGCCAGCACTTTTGGCCGCTGGCCAAACCCGCCACCTCGACCTCCACTGCGGATGTTGGGACCTTGGGCCCTGTTCCCACAGACGTGGTCATGGGCACTAATTTCAGCCCGTGCTTGGGGATGTCACCTGCCGCGGTGACCGACACAATCTGAGGCCTCTGACCGTCGCTGAAAGAGACGGCGAACGAGAGAGCATGCTCGGACCGCTCAGCCTTGAGCTGTCCCCACAAGGCCTTCTTCACGTTGGCCACGGCTGGGTCCGCCATCACGGAGGGGTTCTCCTCACGCGAGGGGCGGCGGCATCGGAAACGAAGACGACAACGAAGAACGCAGGCACCCAAAAAGCAAGACCTTGCAGCCCCGACGGCGCCCCGAACAAAAAAAACAAATGATTTTCAACCCGAGGGGGCCACCGACAAAAACGGCTTGTCATGCGCCGACAGACCACGGAACCAGGATGCCTTAC